CTTCAATTACAATTTAATTATTTGTAAGTAAATAATTATTGTCATTATGTGCCGTTGAGGACCTGCGACTCAACAGCCCTAAACCCTCCTCTATCCTGTACCAATCTCACAGTCTCCGACACACCTACCCCCAGTACCCCAGTCACTAGTTATTTAATTAAATATTTATTTAATTCTTTACTGGTAATTACTATTTCATTACAAGATTAACATAAATCTTTCTGACATGTAATATCCATCAAGTAAAGAGTTCATTCTTTATTTAGTTCCAACTTACTTTTTTGGTCTTATACTCAGATAAACCATTTTCTATTCCTGAATATATTATAAACTTTACCTTAATGTGCTTACTTACATCTCTTTGTCTGACTTTTCCTAAAATGCTTACTCTTCCTAAAGAGATTCTGTCAAAACCCTTCAAGTGTACAGGCACCACTCCCATCTAGCTGTCTCAGCTAGAAATGATGTCTCTCTCCTTAGAAAGTTCAGAATCCTTTATAACACATTCTTCTTAATTAGCTGCCTTAAGTAACAGTTCGAGTTGTATCTCTTAAGAATGCGTGGTCCTTGGTTGAGAGGGGCTGTGTGTTATTTATCTTGCTAGCATCACACCAAGTACAAGGCTTTGTGCGTAATTGGTGCTTTTGTACATATTTGTTAAGTGAGTGAATTCTTGCCAAGAGTCTTTATGTGTAAACAATATCCTGTTCTTTTTTAACCTTGGAAAATACCATGTTATTAGATATATTTACTTTTAGGCTGCTGAGCACAGTCGTTTGTGCCAATTAGATTGTATATTCCATCTCCCCAAAACCCTTTTTATTTCATACTGTCGTTTTGTACTGTCAAGTCCGAGCAAACCCTCCAGCAGGTTTTCAGAGACAGTAAAGCACATGTGAGGGAATTACCTGTCTTTTCCCCTTGGAACAGCTGGATTTGAACCTTCGTCCTTTGTGTTGGCATTGCAACTCCTTGCCACGAAGCCTCCTGAGCTCTCCCTTTTGTTATTTATGTTTGTTTTATCCTAAAGCTTTGTGAACATGAGTGAAATTCCAGTTTTGTAGCATGAAAGGATAATTAGTACTCTTGGGTACAGGTGGTAAGTTATTTTTTTTTAAAATATGAAACACTTCACAAATTTGCATATCATCTTGTGCAGGATGCATGCTCCTTTTCTCTGTATCGTTTCAATTTTAGTATATATGCTACTGAAGTGAGCACTAGAAAGTTTCTTTTATGTTCCTTGTCATCAGAATGTGACCTGGTAAAGAATACTTTTCTGTATGTTTATTTTGTTTTCAAATCTTTCTCCCCTAATTTCATTCTTGAATGCTAATGGGAAAAATAACCCCACATATGTCTGGAAAGTTTTCCATTATAAAAGTGATTTTGAAAAAATTCTATCTTGTTTCCTAGAACTAATTCTGTGTTCAATAATGGTACCACAGCAATGAGTGGAGCTTTAGTAACTTGAGTGCTGAAGGAGAGTTTAAAAGTGCAAACTCATTGCTCTCCTGAAGATTCTGACTTATAGTGAACCCTTCATTGGGTTTCTGAGGCTGTGAATTGTAACAGGAGAAGATTACCCATTTGTTTCCCTCAGAACCGCTGGTATACGTAAACCACTAGAGACAAGGACCTTTAACTTGCTATAGACTACACAACCAGAGCTTCCTAAAGGAAAGTTATTGTTGTTATTATGTGCCATCAAGTAGCCTGCGACCCTGTGTAAAATACCTTTGAAGCCTGCCCTGTCCTGAGCCAGTCTTACAGACTCCCACATACCTATCCCCATTGCCCCAATTATTGTATCAGTCCTTCTCATCCGGGGTCTTCCTCTCCTGCGCTGTACATTACCCTTCCGAGCATGATGTCCTTCTCCAAGAATTGGTCCCTCCTGGACATATGCCCATAGTATGTGAAACTGAGCTTCATAATTCTAGCCTCCAAAGAGAAACTTGGTTTCACCCTCTCCAGGACACAACGATTTGTTTTCTTGGCAGTCTATGGTATGGTCAAGACTTTTCCAGCACCAGAACTCAAAGAGATCAATTCTTCTATCCTTCTTAATCATTATCCAACTCTCTGATATATAGCAGTAAGTATGAAGACCATGGGCTGAATCAAGTGCATCTTAGTCTCTAGACTGACATTGTTGGTAAATCATGGGTAACCTTGTCATTAATGATATTTAGATTAGAATACCTTAAAAAAGTATAGTTTTGTAAAAATGTCACTGAGAGATTTTTGTTTGAGAAAATAGCAATTTAAATGTGAGTACATGATTGCATCTATTTTTTTTCCTTTAATAATTTTAATGAGCATTTACAGAGATTTTGGATTTCCATTAATTCATTGCTGCATTTCTCTCCCTGCCCAACCCCCGCCCCCCAGTTCGCTCCTCTCTTTCAAAAGCAAAAGAAACACTCCCTCCCTGGGACACAATCCCCCCACACCCCTCCTGCCGCCCCAAGTACATTCCACTATGCAACCTTAATTGTAGACTCTTGTGATAACCATAATACCCTATCATACATCGCTTTAAAATTATTCACTCCCTCATCTGTTTCAGTGCAGTATACAAAATTTATCCAGTTTTTCTCAGTCTTACCCCAACCCTGATATCAGTCCCATTTTACAACAGTGGTACCATGCAATATTTGTCCTTTTGCGACTGATATATTTCACTCAATTTTAAACACATCTATTTTAAACACATGTGAGGCAGTTTTCTTTGAATTATGATAGTCTTTATTTAACTGGGAGAAAGGAAAACAGCTGGTGAAGATTGTTTCACACTTTCTCTAAGAGTTGAGTGTAGATTTACATATAACCCCGCAAATCTGCTCTTAATTCTGTTTCCTCAAAGATTGAAACAGGGACACAAACAGATGTGTGCACCCACCCCTGTATGTATTTCATTAGTCCTTACAACTACAAGGTGAAAACTCTCCATGTAGTCATCAACTCATGAGTAAATGAACAAATGTGCTATGTACATACCATGGAGTATAGTTATAAAGAGAAGTAGGATGATGTGGCCGAACCTTGAAAACTTGCTAGGTAATACAATTTAGTCTCAAAGGGACAAGTATTGTATCATCTCATTTGTATAAAATAGCAAGACTAGGCAATGATTGTAGACAGGATATTGTTTGTGATTATCAGGGTGTAGGGGTAGAGAATGAGGAGTTACTGCTGAAAAGGTCACTTAAGTTTCTGTTTGAGGTGTTGAAAAAACCTTAGGAAATACATGATTGGACAGTGTACTGAATATAATTTTGAGTGTGCTTTGCTTTTGTTGTGTTTTATAGGTATTACTTTTTGTTTTTTATACATTGAAGCTTTGTGGCAACCCTGTGTTTAAGTAAACCTATTGGTGCAGTTTTCCCAACAGTGTGTGCTCACTTGGTTGGTGTCAGTATATCATGTTTTGGCAATTCTCACAATTTTTCTTAGTACTGTTTTACACTTCATAGCATACATACAGTATAATCATAACTTGTATGGAGTCAAACAACACAGAAACAAACAAACCAAAATTTTTGTATGGGGAAACGTGACTTGCCTTATTGTGATACTTGCTTTATTGCTGTGATCTGAAAAACTGAACTCTAAATATCTCCAGAAACACTAGGTTGCACATTTAAAAATGGTTAAAATGGCAGGTGTTTTGCTACAGGTATTTTACTACAGTAAAAATAAAGGCAAAGCTAATAATAAAAGATATGTCCAGTCATACTCGTAGAAATCATTCCTGTTGGTGGCCTAGTGGATAGAGAGTTGTTCTCTCATGCCAAAGGCATATGGATCAAATCTGCCAGCTGTTTCACAGGAAAAAGATGGGCAGCAAGCTCTTCCCATGCAGTTTACAGACTCTGAGGGTGAACTGTGGAGTAGAGAGACGAGAGGAAAATCCTATGTGGTGCAGAATTGGGACAAGAATGAGATTTCCTATTTGTCACACCATCTGCCTTGTTACAGTTCTTTTTAAAGTCATTCACTTGTATGTATTTTTATTCATAATCTTTGCTTACTTAAATAGTATTTCTGTTCAGCCTATGTGGGGTTCATTTTCCTCAACTAAAAATGGAAGGTAGCAATCTTGATTTTTGTTGTCTAAATTTCTTTCATTCATATACCACTTTCATGCCTTTTAGCCAAGTTCATATTGTCATCATACTATGATTTATTAGAGATTTTTTTTCCTTATGGTTGACTCTCCTCTTTTTAAAAGAAAACTTCACGTCCCCGTCATTAAGTCAGAAAGAGTACACAATAAAAGAAGCATGTACGTCCTAAATTATAATTGTTCATGCATTATCTCCAGTCCTTATTGGTATCACCAATGAGTGATTTGATTACCACATACTGAGAAAAGAGAAAACACCTTATTCCGCAATCTTGAAATGTAACACTTGATAAAGTCTATTTTTTTTGGTCATGTAGCTGAGATTTCTTGTTGGAATTTTATTGGTCTTACCCAAAAAACAAAGGCTAGTTTGGTTATTAGCTTTATTTTGGTACTTTATTAATATGCCGTAGTTTACTCCATTTTAATACTCCATAATTTGAACAGCCATTTTTACAAACCTTTTCTATGTATATGATAAATGTGGGCCCCTATGGTAGCACTGACTTGGAAAAGGACTTCAAAACTGAAAAATTGATTGACTAGTGAATGAAATATAAAAATGCTTATGAGATTAAGTGATGGAAATGAATGAAAGGACTTTCAGACATTTTTTAGGGATCATTTTTATATTGCCTGTCTTACGTGAGGAGTTTATGTTGAGTTGCTAACTAAAAAGTCAGTAGTTTGAGTTCTCCAGCCAATCCTCTAGATACAGTCTTGAAAACCCGGTAGAGGATTGCCGAATCAGAACCAACTCGAAAGCAGTAGGTTTGGTTTCTCTTAAATATTAGAATAAAACTGATCCTTAGTGATAACACTTTGTTCTGAATTTTAAAAGTATTTTAACTTTTTGTTTTTCTTCCAGATTTCTTCAGAGGTCCCACAGTATCAAATATCCGCCTGGCCGGTTTGGATTATGTTCTGCACTTTACTGCACTGAATGGGAAGATTCATTTTCGAAGCTATAAGTAAGCTGTGTCTGTTTAATGTGCTATATATTTTCAGGGTGTCTTAGTGTGAATATTTTGTAATTCTCAAACCAGGAATTGGTGGCAAGCCAGCAGTTGGAGAATTTACAAAATAGGTGTGATGATCCTCAATTTGGTCCCCTCCTCTGAAACTCATACTTCCGAAATTAGATTTTCCTAGCATCTCAGAGCATCTAATGCTGTACTTTCTCTGATCCTAAGACACTAGTCTACTACTCACTTCCCCTAGCTTTATCTCTTTTCTTTTTCCTAACTTGATTTGGAACATTAGAGCTACCCATTTTACTCTCACTCCTTCCTGCTATTTGTTGGAACCGATTCAGCTGAACTGTTGTATACCGTCAAGTTGAAAGTGACCCAGAGCTGACTTTTGCAGATTTCCAGAGGCAGTGAATTATGCAGGAGATTGACCAGCCTTCTCTCAAGGAGCAGCTGGGGGATTTGAATTGCATGCCTTTGGGATTGCAGTACGTTTTCTTACCACTAGGCCACCAGAGCTCTCAGTGCATTAGAGATCACGTGAGAGATCTTTCTCCCAAGGAACCACTGGTGGATTTGCACTCCCAGAACCTTTGGGTTAGCAGTACAACTTCCTACACATTATGCCACAGAGCTTCCTACTCATTTTAAGCCTGGCCAATACATTTCAAAACCTTGGGTCTGAAAAATTAAGTCTAAAATGAATAAGAAAATTAGTGGCAAGAATCATTTTACCCTCTAACAAGTAGATTGTTTTGAGGGCAGATAGGTAATTTTGATTGTTTTTTTTTTTTTTTTTTCATGAAGTATTAACACTGGTGATTGGCACAGGATTTTGTTTTGGGGCTGTTGTACATAGGGTCGCTATGAGTTGCAGGTGACTCAACGACACAGAACAACAACAACATTAACACGGGCTGATACCAACCAGACTTTCCTAAAGTGATTATCTTCTACAAATTGTCTTTCTTTGTATGTTGAATTGAGACTTTGATATGTAGTTGAGCTGGAGTGGGGCGGAGCAGTCTGTGTGTTGACAGTGTGCTCTGTGCAGTCATTTTGTGGACTTAGGTTTTGTGCATGGCTTTTGTGTTGGGGGTTTTCTTCACAACAGAATCCGTGGAGCACCAGCTTATGCCCAGTGAACACCTAAATGAAACTAATATCTCTTTTGGCAATTACTGATCTTCATTTCCACGTATTGGGTCAGAGAGAAACTACTTCTTTTTACCATATCATTAATACTACCATTCTAGTTTTCTGCTTAATTTCATAAAAATTAGTACTAAAAAGGCAAGATGCAGTAAATACTCAAGTGACCACATGGTATAAGTGGGGTTGTATACCATCAAGTCAGAACCAACGCATAGCTGACCCTCTAGCAGGTTTTTAGAGGCAGTTAATTACACAGGAAAGAGATTGTTCATCTTTCTCCCATAGAGCAGTTGGTGGATTTGAGCCACCTGCCTTTGGTTTGGTAGCACAGCTCTGTACCACTAAGCCACCAGAGCTCCCTACATGATAGAATTAGAGATTTTACAATCATTTTTAGCTAGTGGAAGTGAGAGCATCTTAATTCTGTTGTTGGAATATCTGCACTTGGCTGAAACAAGGTACTATGAAGTAGATGACTCTTACTGGGAGAATAAGAAATTTAAGATTTTAAAAAAAACTACCATAAAAAAAATTGTTAAACAGAGACTTTGGAGATACTTAAGAGTCATTAATACAAAGATGAAAGACATTCAATTGAGAAATGAATAATAAAGATAGCCTAAAAGCCTTTTATGGTAAATAGTTTTAAAGCATTTGCTTGTACCAGAACTTACATTTAATGAAATAAAAGATTCATTTGTAAAGAAGGGAACAAATACAGAGACTAAAGTAAAATGCACAAGAAATGAGCAAATACACTTGACAGGGTGCATAAACAGTGTGGCTAACATAGGTCTTTACCATTCACTTAGTATTAAGGAAAATAGACTTTTTGGAATCACTGTGACATCTCGTATATTGAGGGGAGGGCCACCTGTGGAGTTTAAAATTTTAACATCAGATGTCCTAATGTAAAAGTTCACGCTACTATTCTATATGTTTTCTATAACGCCTCTTAGTTATTGTTAGGTTTGAAGTAGATAATAGGTACCATAATTGAGAGCAAGCAACAGTAGGGAAAAGTTTACTAAATACTCTGTTCATCTTAACATTTAGAGGCTGTACCAACCTTGGGAGGAGCAGAAAAGAAATAAGAGATAAAGGAAGTGAGTTTGGCCTCCCAGCCTAGTAACCTGGCTTTGAGCCAGGCTCAGCCACATGCCATAAGCAAAACACTGCTTCTCGGGGCTTCTGTTTCTTCTCTGCAGAGTAGCAGTTTCATATAGGTCATCACCACTCTCTGAGCTAGATCTGTGAGTCAGTGGTTGAATTTTTATGTGAGAAAATACACATTTAAATGAGAATTTGCCAGAAAGAGGTATCTGAATTAAAGCAGCTCCTCGGACACTCTCACATGTTCCACTGCCGTGCCCTGCCTTCTTTCTTGACCGATGCAGCTTAACCTTTATGCACTTTATCTGTAAAGTGGTTGAGTGTGATATTTACACATATTATTTGTCATGATTGTTGTTGTTATATGCCATCAAGTTGCCTGTGACTCATAGCGACTCTGTACAACAGCCCTAAACCCTGCTCTATCCTGTGCCAATCTCATTGTCTGTGACACACCTTACCCCTATTACCCCATTTACTGAATCAGTCCATCTCATCAAGGGTCTTCTCCTGCACTATCCCTCCACCCTCCCAAGCATATGAAATCCCTTTTCAAGGACTGGTCCCCCTCCTTGCAACATGTCCAGAATATGTCAGATGAAGCTTCAGAATCCTTGCCTCCAAGGAGCAAGCTGGTCTCACCCTCTCTAGGATAAACCTGTTTGTTCTCCTAGCAGTCAATGGTATGTTCAGTGCTCTTCTCCAGTACCACAGCTCAGAGGCATCAATTCTCCTTCTGTCATCCCTAGTCATTATCTGGCTCTCTGATTTATAGCATATCATTGCAAAGACTATGGCCTGGATCAGGCACACCTTAATCTCCAGGCTGACATCATTGCTCTTCAGTACTTTGAAGAGGTCTCTGACAGCAAAGTAGAATAGGTAAACTCTTTATGGTTCAAAATTGGGAAGAGTGTATGCCAGGGATGTGTCCTTTCTCCATAGCTTTTCAATCTATAGGCAAAAGAGATTATTCAGGAGGCTGGGCTCTATGAGGATAAATGTGGCATCAGGATTGGAGGAAAACTGATCAATAATCTGCTTTATGCAAATGACACAACCCTGCTTGCTGAAACTCAGGACCTAAAGCACTTGGCTGCAGAAGATCAAGGACTGTAGCCTTCAATATGGATTGAAGCTCAGCATCAAGAAAACAAAGATTCTCACCACTCGTCTAATTGGCAACATGGCGATAGATGGTGAAGAGAGTGAGATTGTTGACAGCTTTAGTTTGCTTGGTTCCACAATTAACACTTTTAATACCAGCAGCCAGTAAATTAAAAAAGGAATTGCTTTGGGAAATTGTCATGAATAGTAAAACTTATTGAATGGTTTTGAGCTTCTTAAATGAAGGAACTCTGAACATGATGACCTTTTGGAGAAGTAAATGCTAAATTATTGATCTCTTCACATTCTTAAGTAATCAATTCCTCATATGCAAGTGGCCATTTATGTTCCATGAGGTATTGTATTCACTGTAACATCTGACTGTGGTCAAAGGCCTTTCTGTGCCTCAGAATTTTTTCAGTAAGTGCCACACATGTTTTAGTTGTCCTTAGGTTATATGGGGCAAAATATGGAGTAACAAGTGATTATTATACCTTAAAAAGCAAATACAGCATTCTAGAAAAGGAGTTTAAATAATGAAAAGAGAATGTCAGCTGAATAGAGAGAATTGTAAGAGGGGAAAAATAAGGAAGCTACAGTTTGCATGCGGAGGCAGAAGGTAAGGAATGTGCCAAGGGATTATTGCTCAAAATTACTTTCCTAGCCATTAACTTTGGTTTTCACCACATAAATGGGAATAGGTTATTTATAAAGTAATCATTACAAATCAGTTTTTCCCATTCCACCAAGATAAATTAAGCAGATTTAACAGTGACAAGGGGAATGTCACTACCAACAAGGAAGAGGAAATAGAAAACAAAGTGTTTATCCTTTAGGGCCAGAGATTCCTGCATTCCTTAGACCAAGACCTACCCAGAGCAGCAGCAGCCTCAGTAGAGAGTCAGAGACTGACATAAAACAGAGCTGACTTGAGACTGCTGCCTCATGGCGCCAGAGCCAGGGCCTTTCCTCTAAGCTTCCTGGAGGACAAAGGGAACTTTCTAACACATACAAGCCATGAGGCTGGAGGCCAAAGAGCCTGTGAACCTTGAGAAGTTGTCTCCAGTGAGGAGTTGTATCCTCTTTTGGCAACCTGAATTGTAACTGGTTAACTTACCTAATAACTCTCATAACTCTGCTTATGGTTCTGTGGAAACTTTGCTGTCATTGCTGTGGCTTTTGAAACTCTGTAGAATAGGAAGATTATTGTCGGAATTGGTTAAAGTAAGTGCAGGAGTGTGGGAGACCATATCTGACTTAGAGGAATTGGTTTTGTATTGTTGATGTTGATGGGTACAGTTTCCTTTTTGGGAGTTAGTAGACATCAGATTCAGCTATCTTCTTGTTGCCTACATTATTTTTGCAAATAGCAATATCAGTCTTTTTCAAGAATACATCATTGCCTAATTTCCCAATGTTTTCTGTATTGGGACATTAATGAAGTAGTGCTGAGGAACATTGACTCTGGTTTAGTTATTTGTCAGCTTGGCTGGGCTCTGATTCTCAGTGGTTTGGCAGTTATGAAATGATGAAAGCTGTCAGTTATATAGTGATATAGTTAGGTTTGCTATATCTTGTACAACCTTTTTTTTCAATTGTGATTTGTATGAGTTTACAAAGCAAATTAATTTTTCATTCAACCACTTAGCCACATTTTATTCTGTAGCATGAATTACATCTTATGCCATACCAATTCAGTCTGTTTGGTGCTGAACAAATATTCATTGCTTGACTCTGTGACAAAGAATGTGGCATCAGGATTAAAGGAAAACTCATCAGCAGTATACATGTGAAGGTGATACACCTTGTTTGCAAAAAAAGGAAGGCTTAGAGCACTTCTAAAGAACATTAAAGGCAATCCATCAATATAGTTTACAATATGGATTCAGTATGGATTTCAGCATCAAGAAAACCAACATCCTCACCACTGGACCAGTAGGTAACATCATGGTAGATGGAGAAAAGATTGAAATTGTCAAAAGTGCCCACGAGCAAGAATGACAATGACTTACTTGTATGCATGTGACAGTTGAACTGTGAATATGGAAAACTGAAGAACTGATGCCTTTAAATTGTGATGTTAGTGAAGATTATTAGATTATTGAATATTCAGTGGACTTCCAAAAGAATAAACAAATTGGGTTTGGAGGAAGTGCAACCAGGATCCTCCTTATAGGCAAGGTTAGTGAAGTAAGGATTGTTGTCAGGAGAGGTCAGTCCTTAGAAAAACCACCATGCTAGGAAAGGTAGAGTGGTAACAGAAGAGAGGCTGACTCTACGTGAGATAGACTGAAAGTGACTACAACAGTGGCCATAAGCGTGGTGGAGACCATGAGACTGGTGCAGGAGCAGGCAAAGTTTCTGTCTGTGGTTCTTAGGGTCAGTGTAAGAGCAGGCTAGACAGCATCTAAAACAACCAAAGTATACTGGTGTCTTGCAAAACTGAGTGTCACTTTTGATTCTCAGTGTGCTGAAAAAGCAAATCTAGAAACTTTCCTTAGGTTGAGATCTGAGATGGAGATATGATGTAAAAATTCTGTGCAGTGTTTGCCCGAAGACATAAAGGTCTGTTATTGAAATGTCTGTGTACAGGACAAAGTGCAGTGTGTATAATGGAATGAGGGTGAAGGAAGTGGTTTTAGGGTTTTTAAAAAATGATGGCATAACTAGTAGTCTTTTCAGTTGGCTCACATGACCCTCCAAATCTACTCATAAATCCTCTTTTTTACATGGACAAAATGAATTCATTGAAATTGATCATGGGACAGCGTAAAGGGGAAAAAATGCAGCGTCTGTCAAAATAGTAATCACAGGTTAGGTTCTTCTTTCCCTCTGTTATCAGTTGAGAAATTGAATTTTTTCAGAAAAGGAATGCCAATTCATTAGCATGAGTGATGGAATATTAATTTTACAAAACAAAATTCTTGTGTCCAAAACTCCAAGAATTTCTTGACCTATATCAAATGATTAGATTCCAGCAGAAAAAAAAAAGTAGTAGGGTTATTGATATTTGTGTGTGTGTGAGGAGAAAACATAACTTCATTGTTTAAGTACTGTTCAAAGCATTTTAAGCTTGTAATAGAAATTTTAGCCTCAGTATTTTAGATTCTAAATTTCACTGTAAAGTTTTAACAGAGGAATAAATTAGAGGCCTCTTAGCAGAGAAATGAACACTCATCAATTTTCTGTAGTTTCTTTCAATTTGATATGCCAATGAACATATTTAATGAAATGTTTGCCATAAGATTACAGCACTGTAACCTAATTCTTTGATAAGATAGCAACATGTTATAAGTGTTGTTGGATGCTGTCAGATAGACTTAATTCACAGTGATCTGCTGTGATTGAATAGAACAGCCATTTGGGGCTTTTTTCCCCCTTGGCAGTAAATTCTACAGAAGCACGTATGGAGCTGTGCTGTGTGGCTTGAACTGCCAGCATTTGGCTAGCAGCCAGACATGTCACTTTTGCCCCGTATACCATAAGTGCTTAGGTGGAATGACTCCAGCAGGCATGAAATAAGTTGTTCTGATTGACATATTTCTCAATTAGCTGAAAAAATTGGAGTTTCAGGTTATAGCAAAATCATTTCAATTGAAATTGTAATTCCCCTGATTCTTATATTGTATGTATGTATCTTGATGAAGATTATACGTTACAAATACTAGTTATTTAGAGGTGCTGTGTGATACAGCAGAGTCACATGGCTGCTGCCTTCTTATGAACTTTTGCATTAGCTTTAAAGGAACTTGTTCTGATGCCGTCCAATTTTAGCTAACATTGTCTTCCACAGTGGGCACAAAAGAGGAGCATTCTCTGATCTCTTCTGGGACCATGTAAAGAGAATGGTCCTCCCTCCCCCTTTCAGCTGACTGTAAATGACTTTGTTCTCTGCAGTGTATCTGATCGTCACTCCTCTGCAGGCTGAATGTGTGCCTCCATGAGTGACTTCTGGTTAGCCCGTCTGCACTTAGGACACAAAGAACTGTGCATGGGCTTTCACACTCTGCCTTCTGTTCCCTGGTGCTTGCTGCTCTCCTGGGTATTCCTTCCTGTACTTACATTTTTGGTTCTTTCTTCTCATCTCCTAGGTTACTTGCTATGTTCGCATACTCTAGACTTTGTGTAAAAAGACTTTATCTACATTATTATTCAGTCAATCCTTATTTCTTTGTGAACATCTGGCAACTGTGCCAGCTTGAGTATAATCTTCAGATCTTTGGCTGTTCTAATGGTCTCACACACAAAAAAGGCTTTGCATTGCCTCCTCCGTCTTTAGCCATGTTTCTAGATCCAGTGCTGTTTTGGACATGTTGTGTACTGTTATGGACTGCTGAATTGGAATTGACTCATGGCTCATACTCCTGCGGGTTTTTAGAGGAGGCTGTAAATCACACAGGATAAGATTGTCTAACTTACTCCCAAGAAGCAGCTCCTGGATTTGAATTGCATGCTCTTGGGTTGTCAATGTAAATTCTTACCTATAAGCCACCAGCACTCCATTGTGGACATAGGAGATCCAAAATGGTTGTGGTTTTGTTATATTAGGGTTTTTAACTTGTGTTAAGTTTTGTTAAGATATTTAAGTGTTTTAAGTTTTAAGAAATAGGTCAATGTCTGCTATAGAGAAAAGTTTCTTCTGAATGAGTTGATTTACTTCCCAGTGTTAGATATAAAAATCTGCTGCCCTTGAGTCAATTCCAACTCTTGGCAGCTCTCTAGGACAGAATATAACTGGCCTATAGGATTTTCAAGGCTGTTAATCTTTGTGGAAGAAGATTGCCTCATTTGTCTCATGTAGAGTGATGGGTGGGTTGAGACCACCAACCATTCATATGACAGTCCAACACTTAAACCCACTGGCACCATGAAGACAACTTAAATATAAACAAGAGTATGCAAATTATGTTTCAAAGATCTCCTTCACATTTTTTAACTAATTAAGTTTAGCTTTCTGTAGACATTTTGTGAAATGTAATTCTCTTCAACAGAAAATATTTTAGGAAGAGGACATTTATGAAATTCACAGCAGCTTTTCTTTTTCCCCTGTAGGTTGCTGTTGAAGAAATCAGGTTGCAGAACACCCAGAATTGAATTGGAAGAGATGGGACCCTCCTTGGATCTGGTCCTGAGGAGAACTCATCTGGCATCAGATGACCTTTATAAGTTATCTATGAAAAAGCCAAAAGCCCTCAAGGTATATGATTTGCAGATTGGTGGCATATTATTTACATATTTTATTCTTGTTTCCCAAAATAATTTATATTAAAGGACAAACATAATGGAAGCAGTGTAGATACAACCAGACTCCTTGAGGCAAGAGAGGAAGAAGTAAACAAGCCATTTATGAAGGATAAACAGAGCTGCAAAACCAGGTGTCAGCTTGGCTAAAAGCTTTTTGGTGGCTAAGGCCAACATGCTTCGAGGAAAGGGGAAAATTTTTTCTCAACTTTCTTATTCAGAATTTTAGTAGGAATAATGAAAATCATTTGGAGACATGTGAAGAATAGAGATTTAGAGCATGGAATGTAAAAGCTACGTATATATTTTGACTCTAAAGCATTTAAAAAAAAATCATCTTTCCCTGGAATGTATCTTAGTTACTTCCCTAATTCAGCTAAATATAAGAGATTGTCCTTTTTTTTTAAAAAAATTATTTTATATTGGTTTGCTTGCAAAGTTCATTCACATTGTGTTTCATACAATCATTCTCCTTCATTATGTTTTATAAAGTTAATCACAATTGGACTATGCCCACCCTGTCTTTTCAGGTCCCTGCTGGATCTTTCCCATTTCCTTTACCCTCTCCTTGAACTCACCAAATTGTGCAGCCCTGTGATTTCACCTGTACCTCTCACCCCTCTGCTCCCATGCCTTTCTCTCCTTGGGTCCCCATACAAGTTTTTCTAGTTATTCTTCTGGTTTTACAATAATGGTCTTATGCAGTATTTGTCCTTATAAGACTGAGTTAGTTCACTCAACATAATACTTTCCAAGTCTTTCCCAAGTTACGTAGGATTTTTAGGACATTGTTTTGATGCATGACACTAGTTAGACTGTATAAGCTTCTAAAAATGTAATCTGATAAGTTATTTAAGGAGGGTAAGAAATGGAAAATTTCAGACTCCATCCTAGACCTACTGAATCAGAGCCTACATTTTAATATGACTTGGGTGATTTATATGCACATTTGAGTTTAAGAAGAAAATTTTGTTTTATAGCCTACATAGCATGCATTGAAGGATGCTCACTAAGAAAAATGGTTAATAAGATGGTAAAAAATATATATACATAAAAAATTACTAACAGTGGAGACCATTATGAGTATTACTTTATTTTTAAAAAAATGTGTTTGTTTTTCAAATTCTTGTTTTATAGCAAAAGAAGAGGAAAAATATATCCCAGGATACCTTTGGTACAACTTATGGAAGGATCCACATGCAGAAGCAAGACCTCAGCAAATTACAAACCAGAAAAATGAAAGGATTGAAGAAGAGACCAGCAGAAAGGATAGCAATAGAAAATGAGGAAAATCTATCAAAGAGAATTAAAAAAGATTGATGAAACTTAGCCAATGACTACATTTTACTCTTTTTAAGAGAATTAACGAGCATCAGTTAGTTCAATCTGACTTTCTTAATAGATGTTATTGCATATTTTTATAATGTGATGATTTACCTAAACTAAATCCCCAGTATAGTCTACAGGCAGTTGTGCTTATAACCCAGAGGCCACACCTCTCTGGCAGTTCAAATCCACCAGTTGCTCCAAGGGAGAAAGATGGGCAGTCTTCCTGTGTAATTTACAGTCTTGGAAACCCAGTGGAGAGGACATTTTTGTAAGTCAGTTTCCGATTTGACAGCAATAAGTTTGAGTTCATATATTCATATATTATGAACAGTAATGGACATCATGCTTGGTAGGGTAGAGGGAGAGCGCAGGAGGGGAAGACCCTCTATGAGGTGGATTGATTCAGCTACTGGGGTAATCGGGATGGGTGTGTCAGAGGCAGTGCGATTGGCACAGGATAGAGCAGGGTTTAGGGCTTTTGTACAGGGTCGCTGTGAGTCGCAAACGACTCGACGGCACATAACAACAACAACAACAACAACAATGTATTTATTACATTTAAAATACATCTGCTGCTTGAGCCTTTACACCCCTTTGAGCTACCTTTTTCTATATGATAACATGCTGAATGTGGGTGAGCTGGATCTCCAGAAAAAAACTTGATGATTTTAGAGAATTCTGCAGTTCAAAATTTCCTATGGAGAGAATGACATAGCAAGTAGACAGGGCCTAAGGGAGATACAGACTCCATATGAGCTGCTTGAAATGCTAATCGTTATGTCTCAGTGTTCACTTAACACTTGATTTTTATTCTTTTTTTTTTTACTTTTGCCTCGAATTCTACTATTGAGAGATTCATTTGCAATTTTAAGCTTTTTCTCTTAAAACAGATAGTAGAGAGGGATGTCCATTATTTGATCACTGACCCATGACTTTTGACCCCTGATTATTTGAAGAGATTGTGTTCCTAAGTGAGGTCCTTTCCTGCAAAGCAGTTTTGATATAAGTGAGAGTGAGAAAGGAGAGAATGGGTGAGTTTAAAGCACAGGGTACTTTAGGGAACTGGGGAGGTAAAGGTTTTGTGCAGGTCCTAGGTTGTGCAGACAGTAAATCTAAGCAAAAGTCACATTGCTTATTTGGGAACTTCCTTGAATACTGGCACTGTGCCTAAGAACATGAGAAAGAGCTTCCTACTTCCTTGTCCTGGCGCTGCATACTTGTTCTCCCAGAGTGGAGAAGTTAGGCTTTTGGTTAATGAGTCCCTGGCAAGGAATCCCATTTATACAAGGTCAAGCCAGTTATGTTACTAAAGCATATAAATTGCTATTTGAAGTAGAAGTGTTTTTGTTTTCAGGTTATGTCACAGTTTTCCTCTGTGCCTGTGTGTGCATGCTTTATGTATGTGTGACTATGTGACTGATTTTGTGCAGTTAGTTTGACAGTGCTGACACAAAGCAAAGGCTCAAGCCTCAGTTTCACCTTTTATATCCTTTCCCTTCTCTTACGAACCATCTCCTTAGCCTCTTTCTCCCCGTCCCTTTCTATATGACTGGTACCCTGCTCTCCCCATAAAAATGAGAACGCTACAATTACTCATTTATATCTGTTGCTTGATAATACATTTAACCAAAAAGCACACAGCCTTTCCTCTGAAGTAGCCATTTGCATTTTCATTTTTAAGCATTTTATGTTCTCTAGAGGTGGTGAAGCTAAAATGACTGATTTCTTGCCACCTCCAGTTAAATGAATGATTTTTTAAAACAGAAAAAAAAACCAACCAACTGCCATTAGATCACTTTCAACTCCTCTATAAGAGCTACTCCATTCCTTTTATGGTAACTTTAGCCATTCTTCACAAAGATGGCTGCCTTTTTCAGTTTATGTAGGTGTTTGAGATTTCGTGATAATCCTTTGTAATATTTTTCTCTCTTACTAATGAGCATTGTAATGCATCTTCATTAATAATAAAACTTACTGCCATCAAGTCAGAACCAGTTCAGAGCTGACCCTTCAGTGTGTTTCTGAGGCTAGAAACCAATTAAAAGATTACCTATCTTTCTCCCTCTGGTGGATTCTAACTGCCAGAGAGGCTTAGCCTTTGGGTTAGCAGCACAATTCCCTACAGAATGCCCCTAATAGATCATTGATGGAAAGAAGCAGTGAGTATGCTTCCACTATGTTCAGAAAGGGAAAAGAATTCCCATCAACAGGAAAAAGACAGTATGAGGTACACTAATTGAGTCAACCACACTGAACTCCCAGATAATACTGTTAAAGGCTTTATTATGAAAGTAACTTTATAACTCAGGTTAGAATCCTTCAGTCAGGGCAGTCTGCTCTCAGGTGTGCCTGCAGGCAGGGCTCTCACATTTAGCCTCATGTCCTTCGCCTCTGCCCTAGTGTGTCTATATCTCTAATCTGTAGTTCCCTGTGGCTGCAGCCACCATTGCTGCCTTCTCTGTTTTTGAAGGAATCTCAGATCTGGAGGACATGTGTACACACTCTGGTTTTTTATCGATAGTGAGGTTCTAATTTTCTGCCACTAGGCCTGCTCCATTTAAAACTGACCATTTCCTATTTTGAGTGTTCTGAATGTCTCCTTTACATGTCCTACCCCTAATGATGTTGTTGTGAGTCAGAACCAACCCATAGACAGGAAGAGATTGCCCATCCTCCTCCGACTAATGCACTATTCTCGCCATTTTTGGGTGATCTTCAGCAAAATTTTGTTTGCCTGTGATATTAATGATACTGTTCTATAACTTCCACATCATTCTATTGGGTCACCTTTCTTGGAAATGGGAACAAATATGGATCTCTTCCAGTTAGTCAACCAGCTAGCTGCCCAGCAAATTACCTGGCATATACAGATGAACTCTGATGGCCTAGTGGTAAGAAGCTGTGCTGAAATCCTGAAGGTACACGATTCAAATTCACCAGCTACTTCATGATAGAAGGATGGAAAAATCTCCTTCCATGCAATTTACTACCATTGAAAACCTACTGGAGGGTCAGCTTGGGTTAATAGTTTTAATTCGACAGTACACAATAGTAACAACATAAAAGTGAGCACGTCCAGGGCTACTTCTGTTTGTTAAAACATGTCAATTGGTTTCCCATCAATTCCTGGGGCCTTATTTTTTGCCTATGCCTTCAGTTCAGCTAGAACTTCTTCGTTACCATTGGCTCTTCTTCATATGGTATTTTCTGTGTTGACTAATTGTTTTTGGTATAGTAATTCCTTCCATCTTTTGATTCTTCTGGGATCATTCCAGCTTTTTGTAGTCAATTTTTCATTGTTTGCTTTTTTAAATTGAAGGTTCCTGGCTGGCCCTGACTCCAAATTAGTGGGTCATCATGACCTGGGAAAAGGGATGGGAATCAGCTACATGGGGAGGGGTCATCTCCACAACATTCCATTTATACACAGAACTAAACAGACAAGCACAGAGTCACTATTGTGGTTAGAAATTGGCGGCTGGGAAATAAACAGTGGGAGTGTCATTTAAAAAATAAAGGTACCCCTTACACTGGGGTGCCTAGGAAAACATGGTCTCTTTCAACCCAAAAGGAGTCAGAAGATCAAAAGAGATTTGAGATGGCTAGAACCATGAGGTGTGGAGGGAGGAGGAAGGTCCAGGGGTCTGGGGCACTGTTTGGCAACCAGGTTGAAAGGATCCCCTTCCCCTGCTAGGATCCCCTTTAGCCTCCCCGGTCTTTCAAAAAGGGTCATCTTGAAGCCCCCATGGACAGCTGTGAAGCTTCCAGATGCTCCAGGCAGGGGACTCACAAGAGCTTGCCCTCCAGGGAGATGACAGTATTGCCCCTCAGCTTCTCTGCCAGAGTACAGCAAACCTTGACCTCAGCAGCTGGTTTGTATTCATGCTTTATCCCTGTCAGCTGCTTCTTGATGGTGTCCTTAGAGCTAGCATAGATAATTTAGTTCTTTAAAAGTGCACTCTCAGGGGTCCAAAAGATGAACATTAGTTCCTCGTTCTCCTTGGCCTCATGGGTTGCTACAGGGTGTAGTGGCAGCTTTTGTCCAGCAGCATCTTGACAAATGTAGCATAAGGGTCAGTGACAGTCTGGCTCCAACCAGAATCTCCTTGCCCTCCTCCAGGATGATGATCTTGTCCTCATTCTGCAGAAGAGCACACCTTACCTCCTCTGGTGTTGATTTGCACAGCTACATGTCATTGAATACCTTGATGACACCATCAGAGACAGCCACACCAGAGGTCATGTTTCCAGAAGTGAAAAGTATATGGCAAAGAAGACAAGAGCAGCCACAACTGCTGCCTGGGTCTGACTCAATCCTTTGAGCTTTTGCCCATAGTGTAACTTGAAGCTTGATTTTGTTTTTTCAGTTCTTTCAGCTTGAGAAATGCCAAATGAATTCTTCCCTTTTTATTCTCTGACTCCAGGATTTTGCACATTTTGTTTTAATATCTTCTTGAGCTGCCCTTTGAAATCTTCTAAGGCATTACATCCGTATCTCTTGTTTTGGCTTTTTGACACTATTGAAATTGTTATAGTGTCGTCTAACTTCTGTTTTGGTTTTTTTCTTTCTCCTTTGTCTTTGTACTGATCTTTTGATCTCTTCATGGATGATATCCTTGATGCCATCCCACATGACGCTGTCCCACAGCTCATCTGGTCTTTGATCATTGGTGTTCAGTGTCTCAAGAAATGATTCTTAAATTCAGGTGGGATAGACACTTATATTTTTGGTTTCCATGGACTAGTTTTCTTCAGCTTCAGTGTGAACTTGCACATGAGTAATTGATGGTCTGATTCACAATCAGCTCCTGGTCTGGTTTTGGCTACTGATAGTGCTCTTCTCCAAGGATTGATTCCACAGATAGTCTTATCTGATTTCTGTGCAGTCCATCGGGTGATGTCCTTTTATGTATTTTGAAAAAGATATTTGCTATGAATAAATCATTAAGTGCACAAAATTTAATCTTTCTATCTCCAGCCTCATTCTGCCCCCAAGTCTG